CTGTCTAACAATTTAGTAGTGATGTAGTGGTAAAGGGCTTGACTCATAAGCAAGAGGTTCCAAGTTCGATCTCCACCACGTCCCTGGTAGTACCGCGCTTTACTTGTTTCTTCGCGCAGCGGCCTTGTTCATCATGATTCGTGTTTTTGAGTTATAGAGTTGATAGAGATTTGTAACTTCATTTGAAGAGGTCTCGTCGACTTTATTGGTTTTCTCGGTTTTGAGTTAATTGACATTGAAAAAAAATCTTTTTAGCCGTATAAAAAACCAGATGACAATTTGTATTTAATCATGCCGCTTCTTTTTACAACTGTGTCCTATAGTCTATTGGACCTAAATAATGCATTACTTCTGTTCCCAACAACTCTGCTAAAGTTGCACAATCACGAGCACAAAATATTATTTGGTTTAACCTCCGTTTTCAACTAAAACGTCAAAAACAAACGTAACCAAACTTTTCCTTAATTTAATTGAATAAACGTTTATGTAGTCCTAATTTTTATTACAAAATATGAATAAATATATTAATTTTTAATTTTTATTTATTTTATACTTGTTGACTAAAGACTCATGCAGGTAATAAATTATGTCAAAACAAACGAATCTAAAAAATATTGTCGTGATTGATAGTTTTACAACAACTAAAGATTTTTAATATTTATAATCTTTCCCCTTCTTCCCTTAATCCTTGTTTATCCACTATATATACGCTTATATCCGGATTTAAAATAAACAAAGTTAAATTTTAATTTAAAAGTTTTTGCTCAAATGTTTATGTAAATGAGGTGAGCCTTAATTAATAACCTTACATGCTCTTTAAAGATCACGCTTCAAAACTAATCGCATACATATCAATACAAAGTATATGCTTTTTATTAATTAGAGATGTGCTGGTTTATTACAGTTTATGCCGAGATTCTGGGTACCCGGAAGAAAATATCGGGTCCGAGTTCGGGTATCCGGTACCGGGTCCATATTAAAAAGTTTGAACGAAAGCTTGTGAAATCCATAGCGCTGGATTGTTTTTAAAAAGTAAAGTTTTTTATTTTGTGCTAATAAAGTTTGCCTAAATATATCAAGTTTCCTTTTAATGAACAACTATATTTATACTGAGTTCACAAATTCTAATTAAGCGAACTAGAGTGCAAACTCGGTGTCCGTAAATATTCTTTCTCCCTCAGGGTTGTTTTTTTTTTTTTAATCTTTTTATTTTTAGGTCCCCTAAAAAGAACTAATATGGTCTTGTCAAAGAGCACCGCGGAAGAGCATTTAACCAGGAAGTTCACGCCTTCTTCTTTACCGTGACGCGAAACTATGTCCAGAGCTCGTTTTGAACCTGGATCTCTTGCTTATAAAGCAAGCGCTGTAACCATTGCACCACGGCTGCAATGGTTAATATTTAGAGTAACTCAATATATAAAAAACTATTTTAAAGTTAATTGATTAACTAAATAGTACATAAATTATGCTACAATTTTTGTTTATTGTTTTTTTATATACCTTCAAAAGAAAAATATATGAAGATTCTAGTTTCAGCTAAATATTTGACACCATCAACAATACTAAAAATGATATATGTTTGCTTATATTGCTAAATGCAATCCTATTCCAATATAATATAAATATTGTTATTGGTGCTTTTGTAATATCTACATTAGACCTTCCTATACTTACAGCCCCAGGCCTAAAAATGTGTTAATCTGGCCCTGTAGATATTAACAACTTGGTGGAAAAACTATTTTTTTTCTATTTTACTGAGTAGTTTTTTTTATGGCCATTTTGTTAAAACACTCGAGACCGGGTATCTTAAAAGAAATTTTCAATAAATATTAGACTTAAGTGTTGTAACTATTTAGTTAAAAGGATTGCTTTTAGTTTAAACTTCAACCCATAAACTTCTTGATATAAATCTAAGAATGTTATGGAGTCGATAATCACAAAGCCCTATTTACTCCATACAGATATGTCTTACTTAAAATATTTTTAGAATATATTTTTGCAAAAAAATCATAATATATTGCAAAAAGGAAACTGATTTATACGGGTATTTGCATAGCTTCTTTTTATTTTGTGAGAGAATAAAGTTAATATAGTTAATATATTTAATTTTAACGACGTCAGACGGCAAGTCAATATATAAAAAACTATTTGGTGTAGGTATTGACATACTTAAGTTTAGAGTTTTCCCAATGTGTAAAAGTGTCTTATCTGGAATATCAAAACATTCTGCTGGCGTTCATGCATCCAATTGATAATAAAGCTTTTCTGCAACTTTTTCCTTTATCAATAAAATGACGGCAGAGCTAAATCTGCTCAAACAAATCTGATTTTACTTTTGCCACACCAATTAATTAAGATATGAATCAATTCGCCATTAATTTTGATACAATTTATTTATTAGCTCATTTACGATCTCTCATTTTTACCAAACTAAATTTTTCAAAGACACAATGACTACATGTTTACACTCTATTTCAACTTTACTTTATAAATAATTAAACAAATTATTCTCCTAGAATAAACATATTTAAGCATTTTGATAGTTATCCACTAAAACCTTTTTTTATCTCACAGAAAGCATTAACAAAGGTTTGCTTAATTGTCACTTTGTCCTCGAGATGCATCTTTCTTTAAACATTATATTATTATGTATGAAAACTTATTTTAACGTCAACAAATACAACTGATTATAATGGTAAAACATTTTTTGAGATGTAAGGTTATCTTATCAATTTTCTGAATTACGGCATTTCAGCCGGGATTCAGAATTATTTAAATTGAAAAAGTTTACAAGAAATTAACAATTTTAATGCTTATTAACACTTTTTTTCTTCTTATTTACATTGGTATGCTTTTCCATTTCTTCCACTTGATGAGATCTGTTAAATAACCAAAACAATCTGCTTTTTTTAAAATTTGCAATCTTATTCACGTTAAATATTTTCTTTTTTAAAGGTAAAATATTTTGTATTACAAATATAGGGTAGATTAGGGTAACATGAGCATACTTAAAGATTTCTTTGATGTAAGCAGTGAAGTTAAAGTTGCTTTGTATTTTTTGAATCGACTTTATTGGTAATAACAGGATTTAGTACAATTAGCGTAAATTTATAAGCAGTTATAACGGCTATCGTCTAATTAAAACGCTGTTAAATTTTTTCGTTGTTAAAATAATGTCATCACGCACGAATAAACATGTGGCGCGAAACTTTGATGCTAAAATAATAAAATTAATTTTTTCATAAAGAAAAATATGTTAACTAAAAATCCAATCCATTTTTGTTTAAAAAACAATGCAAAAAAATATTTAGTTTTTACTTTATTTAAAGATGCCATTTTTGTGTAATATTATCATGCTAAAATTACCCAGTGTTTTTTTTAATGAAATTACCTAGTTTAAAGACCTAAAATAGATTTTAATTGCTTTTTGAATAAAGAAAAAACATAGTGAAAAATTTTATAATTACAACAATAAAAAATATTTTTCTATATAAATTCAAAAAATTTGAATTTTTATCGTCCAAAGGTTTGAGTTAATAAAATTGAAAAAATAATGAACTAATTATTATTATTTTTTTGTTGTTGCGGAAAACGTAGTAGTTTCAACAAAAAGTGGCTTAAAACTTTAATGATAAGTTTTGTTAATAACAAATCATTATATTAATTTAAATTTTATTAATATTGAGGGACGTTTGTCTTTTTTTTTTTGTTGTTGTTTTTTGTTTTTGTATTCTTGTGTATTGTTAATTGGGCATTGTAGAGTTATATAATTTAGTGCGTTGCTGGCATCGTATGTTTTTTAATTTAAATGTTTTTAATTTTATGTTAGTCGGACATTTCAAAAAATGTATATATTTTTAAAGCTGTATATGTATATGTATTTATATGTACAAAGATTTTAGATCCAACATATATTTTTGAAAATACTTCAATTTTTGCTTAGGGTGTTCTTATTATCCTATTCTACCCTACAAAGTTTAGATAAAGCTCAAAATAATTTGAAGAGTACAAAAGCTTCAAAAATGTGTTTAAGCTTGTGTTAAAGTTTCAAGGTTTAAAAATTTGTATAACTAATAAAGCAATGTATAACATTTACAAAAACATCATGCGGTAACTAATATTTTTGTCATACATTGCTATGTGCGTTACTATGCGTCTTAAAATGCAAGTTTAAAATAAAAAGTTAGTGGAAGGTTTTTAAAAATATTTTTTAGTTGTCTTGGTTTTTTAAAATTTTTTTCGCAATAATAAAATTGGAAAAATTTTGTTCAAAAATCATCCAAACTAAAATTTTTAATTTTGTTGCTTATTTTTATATAGCTTTATATATTTTATAATACGTAGATTAAATATTTTAGATCTAATATGTTTCCTAAAAGTAAAAAATTAACGTTCCAAATTACCCCTCGAAAAGGTAAGTTGTCACACCATTAAAAAAAACAATTTTAACAAACTTAGGTGTTTTTATATCAATGAACCATTATAAAATTTAGAAAATAAGTTAATATAAAGAAAATAAGTTAATATAAAGAAAAAGCGTAAACTTAGAATGCACAAGACAGGACAATTTTAAAGACAAGACAACAAAACCACAGAATTTTCATTCATGAAGTCCTTTCCAAACTATATAACGAATTACAAATTAAGATATACTTTTTAATATTAATTTTTTTATAAATTTTTTTAATATTCTTTTTATACAAAGTTAAAATCAATTTAACAAAATAAGAATACTTTTTTGTCTATTAAGTATTTAAGTGTTTCTTTTTTTTATGTTGTTTAAACTAAAAATCAAAGAAAAATTGATTCAAAAATTATATATAAACAAACATACACACTAATATAGATACAAACATATTATATATATATATATATATATATATATATATATATATATATATATATATATATATATATATATATATATATATATTAAATATATATGTATATATATATATATATATATATATATATATATATATATATATATATATATATATATATATATATATATATATATATATATATTCATTTATTGGACGGTGCTCCGCTACTTTTTAGTTATTACTTCAAACATTGTAGTTTCCAAGCACTTTATCATTTTTTGATTGGGAGCTGTTAAGTGTCCGATTATTATTTTACTATTGCAATTGCAGAGTGGGTAGGTGTCCGGCAGCTCTAGCCATTTCATTGACGGCTTCAATGAAAGCTCGTTTCTGTTCGACAAATGATTTGTTTGCATTGTTTCTTATTACTTGTGCTACATGGTTGGATTTTTTTAAAAACTCTTTATTTCTATAATTTGGACATAACTCGTAAAGTAATGCTTTTCTTTTTAAGGATGTGTCAGGATTAATGTAATGGCAATTTATCTTCATTTTCTTTTTTAGAGCTATGCCAGGTTTTACCGGATCCAGTTTATTAACTGAAAAAAAATTTATTATATTAGAAGCAAACACATGAAAAATTTCATAATAGAGGAAGAGCAGCATATTTGGAATAATTTCGAATACTCAAATATAACAAATAATATTTACGTTGTTTCTTTCGACACTGAACATAATTTAAGATATTCTAAATTACATGCACAATTTTTTCGATCTTATGTTTCACCACGAAAAAACATCTTATTTTTTATCAAAAATGATGAATAAACAAAAAAGAATAGAAATTTAAAGTTTGTTTTAGCAAAAAACCTATATAAAAAATAAAATAATTTTTAAGTGTTTTTATAGCAATTTTTAACTAACATTTTTTTTTAATTTTTCTGTTTTTAATAACACTGAGCAACAAAAAAATTTATATTTTTTGTATATTTAGCAATTTTATTCAAATAATACTAATTTTGGGCTGAGAAAAAAGAAACTAACAACGAAAATTTTTTATTAGCTCTAGTTTCTGAAATATACAATGGAAATATATATTTCAGTTAATTTTCAACAGAACAATATGACATATAATTTACATATTCTAATAACATTTAAAGTACATTTGGTTTTTTATATTACAGATATATTCTAATAGTTTTAAACAAAGAAATCATGATCATTAAGTTAATAGGTTTAAAGATGATTATGGGGTATCATCGTGAGATACTGATCTTTTTGCTTTCCTTTTGTAGACTAGTTCTGGAGCATCCCTACACACAAACCAACAGTAATCTGCGAGTATAGCTTCATTCCAACAACCCTGATATCTTTGTTATATTACTTGAGGAAAACTTTCCCCATGTTCATCACTAACAGCTACACAATTGGTGGGGGGGGGGGGGAGGGGAAGGGGAGTCTAGGCGTGAGTGGAGGAAATGAATCTTGAGGGACATGTAACATCTAAATTGATGGTATTTTTGTAGAAGTATTGTTACCAATTGAATGTAGTTATCATCTCTTTTGTTGCCTAAAAATCCACAAATACCCCTTTAAGAGCTTCCCGAGTTTCTTTTTCTTGCCCCTTCAAAACTTCGTTAAATGCAGGATCCTTTATAAGCTGGCGTATTTGTGGTTAAACAAAAATACCCACTTTAACTTTTGCATCATTCATTTTTGGAAATTTGTTTCTTAAATACATAAAAGCCTGACCTTCTTTGTTCATACCTTTGACAAAATTTTTCATTAAACCCAACTCAATATGTAATGGTGGAAAAAGAACATCTTTTGGTTTCACAAGTGGATCAGCAATAATATTTTTTTCTTCTATGTTGAGATTTCTTGCAGGCGAGTCTCCTTTTATATAATATGAAGTTCTGTCTCTACTGTCAGGCATACACAAAAAGCAGCAGTATTTAGTATATCCTAATAGCATTCCTAAAAGTATAGCAATGACTTTTAGATCACCATTTTTCCATTTGCGTTCATTGTAAATAATTGAATTGAGGAAAACTTTCATGTTTATATGAGTCTCTTTCATGTGAACTGCATGGGCAATAGAAACAGAAGGAAGACGGTTTCCGTTGTGCAGTAACACAGCTTTTAAGCTTAGCTTAGATGAGCCTATGAATAATCTCCATTCAGTTGGGTCATAGTTCAAATTAAGACAATACATTACCCCAAAAATATCAAACAACAAGATTATTTTTCTTCTCAAAAAAAGAAAGCAGATTCTGCTGATTTTTCTATGACAAGAGCTAATATGTCATTCTTATTGTCATTTTTGAATTCAGCAGATGGAAATACATTAGAAATAACTAATTTTGCTTCCGGTACAAAATCACTGTTGGGCAGTGTAATTAATCATTGTGTTTTACCCTAACATTTTGAAATGACGACATATTTGAGAATATAGGCGGAATTGTACTCAAACTTTTGTTTATATTTTAGTAATTGCAATATTCCGCAAATACTAGAAAAGAAAAAGGTGGGAGAGGAAGATATGTCTGCTACCATTTCTGCTTTTCAAGAAAAAAGAATGGGATACTTAAAAGAAGCTGAATACTTTATTGTTCACAACACTTTTAATGACAAATATTCCCCAATATAATTGCAGAAATATAAGGTTTTTGTTAGAACACCAGTTTTGAGCATATTTATAGGGAAAATCTATTAGTTGAATAGATGTTAACTATGGAAAATAAGTTTTATGGGCTAACCAGAATAAATACAATTCGAAATATAATTCACCTGCACCTCAAGTAAAATCATACTTATGGAGATTTTTGTTTTAATAGAAATTTTGAAAAATATTCCTTTTTGATTGATATTTATTATTATTAAAATTATATAATTTTTTCGTAATTTAGTGTTTTTTTAATTAAACTAACATATTAACTTATTAACATATTAACATATTAACATATTAACATATTAACAAACTTAATCCCAAAAAATTTTAAATATGCTGTACTTCCTCTACTAATAAATGGTTATTAATATTAGTAAACAACTAACTTCATAAAAGATATAGTGGTTATAGTAAGAACAATTATTATTATTTATGTATGTATAAATATCAAAACAAACTTTTAACAAAATGAACTAAATTTGTATCCTTTTCGTTTGGACAATAAATTAACTTCAAACATCATTTTTTCACAACTAAAAATCTTTTTAGTTCGATCTTCGTTTGTTGCGAATATCCAAAAACTATGCCGCACTCAGGTGTAAAATTTAAACATTTAATGCAAAATATTTATAACAATTTAAACAAATACAAATCTTGCATCATTAAAGGATCAATTAACCCTTATAAAATTAAAACGTATAAATGATTGATTTAAAACAAACAAAATATAAAGTTGTCGCGATGTGAATTTATTAAAACTGATAAAAGTCTAAAATTCTATGGTCTAAAGCCTAAAGTGACTATGGTCACTAAAGTCAATAACGATCTCAATAAATCCTCAAAGATAAACAAAAAATGCATAATACAATATGGTCAAAATGCATAATACATATGGTCACTAAAGTCAATAAAGATCTCAAGAAATCCTCAAATTTAAACAAAAAATGCATAATATAATAAATGCATAATACAAAATACAAATACAAAAAATGCATAATACAAAAAATGCATAATACATCTCAATTCTACATTCGAATATTTGGAGTATTCAAATGAATTTTGAGAAATTTAAACAATTTTTATTCAGCGCCAAACTTAATTTTCTAATTATCTGTCTTACAGAAACGTGGTGTCGTGATAAGGACATTGAAAATGATTCTAACTTTCAACTTGATAATTTTAAGGTTATCCATCAAGCTAGAAGCTCTGAAAGAGCAGGTGGAGGAGTGTGCGTTTTTGTGCATAACTCTGTATTTTTCAAATTACGCATGGATCTTTGTTTGGTAACTAATGATTGTGAATCTTTAACAATTGAGGTTATAAATAATACTCTCAAACATATAATTGTTAACGTCATATATAGACCACCTTCTAGCAATATAAAAACATTTTTTAAACAATTTAAAAGTTTAATTACGAACAAAGACATTTGCGGGAAATGGACGTACTTTGTAGGGGATTTTAATTTGAACGTGCTGAAAATGTGACGCCAATAAAAAGTTAAAAATTTCTTCAATATTGTATATCAAAAATAGTTTTATTCCAACTATAAACCAACAAGAGTTACAAAAGATAGCTCTACCTCAATAGATCAAATTATAACTAACTATTTTACTAACATTAAAATTAAAATTGGAATATTTGTAACAGACATCTCAGACCATTTTCCAATCTTTATAATCTTTATAAAAAATTATAAAAATTTCTGAAGATATAAAAATTACTAAACGAATAATTAATGAAGTTTCTATCGCTTATTTTAAAAGCCTTTTATCTTTCACAGACTGGGAACCAGTTCTTAAAACCAAAAATCCTGATATAGCTTAGGGTTGTTAACCGGAGGATTTCGTGCAATTCCGGAAAAACAACATTCTTTCGTAAG